ACTCAGGACACAAATCGTTCTCCGATTCATGTACTCCAGAATTTGAAGGTACTTGCAGCAAAGAATGTGATGTTGATCACCGGATGGCGTCTTGCGATTTCATGTGTCACTCAGCTATGGCAGCATATGAAGGAAACTGCTGATGTCCGATTTCTGCTTACTTCTCGTCTCAACCAGGATATTGTAGAGAATTTGTTTTCCACCATTCGAAGAAAAGGTGGTTTCAGAGATAATCCGTCTGCTAAAGAATTTCGTTGTACCTTAAGGATGGTAATGGTAGCAGAACTGATCAAGCCAGTTGCAGGTTCAAACTGCTCTCCTGACTCGGACAAATTTGTCCTGACACTGCAGTCTCTAACAAGCAAAAGAGGGAGAAAACAACCTGCACGTGCCCCGTACATTTGCAATCACATCACTGTCAATAACATTCCAATTGACCTCCCTGAACAGAACACGCTTGCATACATCGCTGGATATCTCTGTCGCAGAACTTTCATCGGACATGAACTCCAGTCACCATGCCAGACCTGCAGAGACTTTCTCTTGAAAACCAATGCCAATTTAGATGACCCAGTCTTACTTTTCATACATAACAAGGCATATGACACTTCAAAGTCTGATTTTGGATCATTAATGGTCCTTTGGGTCTGATTGTTATGTGGCAAAGCCGACTCACCTCTGGTGACTAATGTCTGCGCCCGTCTGTAGAACCTGGGCCTGCTGCGTGGTGTAGTCCGATGGTGGTGCACCGCGACTATGTCGGAACCGTACGTTCCGTCGTACACAGTTCGGCTTTATTTCCAGTGAATAGGGCAATAATAATGTTCACAAAGACTAACAGTTATGTACATCTGACGAAGACGAAATAGACGATGATATTTACGAATGACGATGATGAAAATGTACACAGAGGAAAACGATGAAAGCGGATGAAAACTTGATGAACGCGAAGTAGTAACTTGACTGAACAGTGATAAAAACAAGATGGCGATATTTACATGTGCGTTTGTTTGTTTGAGTTTTTATGACTCCAAGTGCAACGCACTTTGACCTTTGGCCACAGCAAAGGTATGGGCGGCCAAACGTACAAAATTAGAAAGTGTTTTACGTGTCGCTACAGTAGCTCCCCCGTAGATCGTGAGCTAACAAAACGATCGATGAAAAGGCTGTGTCTCTCCAAGTAGCACAAACTTCAACCATGATCATATCGCAGTAATTTGGTTGGCCAATGAACATGGCGTCCAGATCGCGTTGTTCGTTGCTGTGATTGAGTTCCGTCACTAGGCAATTTGGCAACGCTACTGATGTGTCTGGCACGGGAGGTCGAGTTGGCTTGGCAATAGGCTTGTCAATCACAATAGACCGATTGTGATCCGGTGCTGTTACCATGTCTTTGTCGGAGTATGCTACTTTGAGGCGGTCGATACCTACGGTGTCCCTTCTGCCATTGAGTTCCAGAACAAAGTACTTGTCTGCTCTTTTGAGGACTCGGAAAGGGCCATCGTAAGGGGGTTGCAGTGGTTTTCTGACGGCATCGTGCCTGACAAAAACGTGGGTGCAAGTGGCGAGCTCGGGGTGAATTTGAGAGTTGCTCAGTCGAGTTCTTGTAGGCGACGGTCGCATGTCTTGCATGAGACGTTTCAGGCGGTGGACGTAGTTGCTTGGGTCAAGATCCCTGTCTGGTTTTGCAGTCTCCACGAACTAACCTGGCAATCGGATGGTTGTACCAAGGACCAATTCTACTGCTGAACACCCAAGATCTGCTTTTACTGCTTTGCATATGCCTAGCAGGACGAGGGGAAGCGTCTCCGTCCACTGCTGGTTGGAATTCAACGATGCCTTTAGCTGTCTGTGTAACCGCTCGACCAGTCCGTTAGCAGATGGATGATACGCTGTGGTTCGTATTCGTGTCGTGCCAAGCATGTCGGTGAGTGCCTTGAAGAGGGCAGACTCGAATTGGCGACCTCTGTCGGTAGTTATGGTTGACGGGGCTCCGAATCTTGACACCCAGTGGTTGACGAATGCGCGAGCTACAGTCTCTGTTGTGATGTCCGGAATTGGCACTGCCTCAGGCCATCGTGTGAATCTGTCCACAGCGGTCAACAGGTAGGATTGACCATTCGATGGAGGAAGTGGGCCTACCAGATCGATGTGTACGTGATCAAACCTGGCGTCCGGTGTGGAGAACGTCTGGAAAGACGTCTTGGTGTGCCGGTGAATTTTACAGCGCTGACACTGGTGACAAGTTTTGGCCCATGCACGTACATCCTTGTTTATGCCCGGCCACACAAACCGTGCAGTTAACAACTGCTGTGTTGCTCGGATCCCTGGATGGGACAAACCATGCAGACCGTCGAAAACTGTCCGACGAAAGTGGGTTGGGATGTAGGGTCGTGGAGTTCCTGTGGACATGTCACATGTGATCGTGCCAGTCGACGTGGGTAGGGGTACCTCTGTCAGCTTGAGTGAAGTATCAGACAAATGAAGCAGTTCGTTGTCTGTCTTCTGAGCTTCAGCAATGGCGGGAAAGTCGATGAATGCCGAAACCTCCAAGGCTCCAACTGCTAAGCGAGAAAGTGCGTCAGCCGCCACGTTGTTATTCCCACTGATGTGTCTCAAATCAGATGTGAACTGCGAGACATAATCAAGCTGGCGTATCTCCCTTGGTGAGTGGCGATCAGGCTTGGAGCGCAGGGCATAGGTCAGTGGTTTATGATCGGTGTAGACGCAGAATGTGCGACCCTCAAGCATGTGCCTGAAGTGCTTGATGGAAAGGTAGATCGCCAAGAGTTCTCTCCCGAAGGTGCTATACCGACTTTCAGCTGGTTGCAACCGTTTGGAGTAGAAGGAGAGTGGTTGCCATACCCCTTTTTCATTCATTCATTCATATTGGTTTATTTCATCCATTATCGCAGTTAAAAACTGAATTGCAATGGATTTAACAAAATAATAAATTATTTAACACCAAATCAACAAATTATTTGACAACAATCACCATTACAATTACACACACAAACAAAAAACCATTAAAAAACGAACAATGACTTTTACAGTTCACGTGTACAAAGCATACTGTTAAAAACAAGTCCATTACAATTTACATATCGAAAAATTAAAATTATTATTATTGGTTATGCAATCTGATTAAGGTAGGAAGCGCACTGGTATAATAACGTTTTGTTCGGCAACTTGCACTTGCTGTTGTAGCACGCTACCTATGCCTACATCAGATGCATCAGTAATGAGGCAGACTGGTGTGTCGAGGCTGGGGTGGACTAGCAGTGTGGCATCAGCTAACTGGCGTTTCACTTTGCTGAAAGCAGTACGCTGAGTGTCATCGAAGGCGATTGTCGCATTTTTCCTGGCCTTGGTCTGCAGCATATCCGTAAGTGGTTGTATCACATCGGGGCAGTTAGGCAGAAAACGCCTGTAGAAGTTAACAATTCCCAAGAATTCACGTAACTTGCGGAGTGACGTAGGCTCAGGGAAATCGTTGACGATCTGTATCTTCTCTGGTAAGGGGCATATGCCATGTTCGTCGACAGAATGACCTAAGAAGGTACACTCTTAAAAATACGTGGTTAAAAAGTAACCACGTCGTGGTCATTTTTAACCACGTTCCCGTCGTCAAATATGCACCGAAGACATCCGTGGTCAAAACGACCCCACCTGACGTGGTCAGTATAAATAACCACGTATTTTGGGTGATATTTGACCCCTGTGGTCATATTTTTAACCCAATTCCGTGGTCAATTTAACCCCATTGCCGTGGTCAGCCATTTTGACCAATTCCCGTGGTTAAAATTTCGCAACCCGATTTCGTGTTAAAAAAAAATAAAAAAAAAATTCATGGACTAAAAAATTCTACAAGTAATCCTGAAATGGTGCACTTAAAATGAAACACCTAAAATTCAACGAAGGGAAACTTAGACATAAGAAAGAATGCTTTAAGAGTGCGTTATCTTCAATACACATTTTTCTTTAATAAATTCCGAATATCCTTATACATTTGTTAACTTTTTTTTAAATGAATGCAGTTGACTCTCTTAGTACAAACAATTCTTTCATTTTTTAGAGACATATGAGCACCAAATGTTACAAGTACAATTTAACAGCACACAGATGTTTTTCATCAATAAATTGATGGTGTGAACAGTTTGTTTCACCAGTCTATTAGATAGCTGATTATTTTAACCAACTTGCACAGAATACAGCATTCAGGTACATACATGTATGTATTGTAATCATTGAAAATGAACTGTCGGGTTGTACATGTAGCTGCAATTATTTAATGATTGTGGTACATTTTCAGTACATTTTAAAAATCTCAAGTATGCAAAAGCTAACACTTGTGTCACCTAATCCACATAATCAAAGATAATGTAAGGATTAAACAAAAATGGTTTTCAGTCAATAATTAGAATTTCTTTAAGTATTTTCTGCTAAATTTAAAAAAAAATGAAATAAAATTTGTGAGGTTTATTTGCAGTAGAGAGTTTGGTTTGAACTGACTGAACACTGTAGGACCCGTCTATCTTTGGTTTGCATCTTCGTGTTGAAGGTTGTCGCTGACATTCACTCACTGTTTGGACACCTAAAGTAAAAAAAAAAAAAGGGAACTTAATAAATACTTCTGGAAGTAAATTTAATGTTTTTGTTGCATCAGTTTGAAATTTGAGTTGCATGACTGATAGACAAAATACTTTCACTCAGTAATTCACTTTTTTAATCTAAAAATTACATGTGCATTGTAAACATGTGTGTACATTTAATTTTCATGTTTGTGATACCAAATTACTTCATTGATGTTCAGAATGTATCCACAGTCGTAAGACTAATTTGAAAACCTCATTGTTGTACACATGAAGAATAATTACCTTAAATTTAGTAGCATTAACACAAGCTGAACAGCATGCAATAACCAGCATGACAGCTGGCCCTCTACAGGTTGTCTTCATGATGTTGGACGCATCTATCAGTCAATCATCCAGATCTATACTGGCCTCGAAGCAAAACGAGAAAGCCCCTATCCAGTAGTTTAACCACACGGCACTAAGAAGTAAACTGGAAGACACTTGAGTTGAAATTACTCATCTTTAATCCAGAACTACTCCCTTGCCTAGATACGGTAAAACTGTAAGAAAAATACAAAAAACTTGTATCGGTTATGCATGTCTACATGGTACATGTACATATATGTGAAAAAGTAAAGACCTAACACAGTTTAAGAAAAAGACAGATACATCCTCATGTGATCATACAAAACATTCAAATACATCGGGAATCCAAAATAGTGAGAAATTCCGTGAAACCAAAATAATTACAGGTATGTGTACATGAAATGAAAAGCTACCATGTCCAGTCAACAAAAACTTACAGACTTGTGGATTTCCAATCTTCCTGGAAAATCAGAAGCTCTATGGATGTGTCATGTAATCACGCTGTAAAAACAATCCACAAATGTAGGCCCTTAACAATGTGTGTGCAGTTGAGATGATTATAACAACGCATTATTTTATACAATACACAGTACATTATACAATACACAGTACATTATACAATACACAATATAGAGCATCAAGGGTCGCACAAGAATAGAACCAAAGTTAGGCTTCTAACGATAATTTAAACATTGACCAACTTCAAAGGTCAACACTCACAAGGTTTAGAAAACCTAGCATACTCTTCCACGACGTCTGTCCAAACTGCAGAATAATTATAACTCCTGCAACAAGTAATAAAAGGGGACTCTAAATATTCATAACACGAAGCCTAACTACGATACATGTAGAGAATCTACGAGACATAACATGGCTTATACAAGAAAAGAAGCTTAACTTTATCCCACAAGAATTCCACAATTTAAGCACCCAAATCATCTACTCTAATTATCTGAGAGCAAAACAAATGATGTCAACTTACATAAGGACATGTGGATGCAGAACAAAAGGCAAGAAACTCTAAGAACACTCAAAATTTAGACGTTCTATTTACATAGTTGTCGAGACTGCGCGAACACGAAAAACACAGCCCCACTGCCACAAGGTTCAGCCAGACAGGCGCATGCGCGATGCCCTTCTCAGCATGAGTATGGCACGCCTGTGTATGGAAGGCATACACAACAAAAAGGCGTACAGCACAAGATCATTGCAGGAATGGTCACCAGTCAGCCAGGGCTGAAAATAAAAACAAACACAGTTTGTTTTTGTCAAAAATGTTATTCTTGGGACATTGGAAGACCATTTCACTGACTAAAATTACACATAAGCCTAGCCTGCATGTCCATTACTTGTGCCTGGCTCGCGTACGAGCTGGCTCGCGTACGAGCTGGCTCGCGTACGAGCTGGCTCGCGTACGAGCTGGCTCGCGTACGAGCTGGCTCGCGTACGAGCTGGCTCGCGTACGAGCTGGCTCGCGTACGAGCTGGCTCGCGTACGAGCTGGCTCGCGTACGAGCTGGCTCGCGTACGAGCTGGCTCGCGTACGAGCTGGCTCGCGTACGAGCTGGCTCGCGTACGAGCTGGCTCGCGTACGAGCTGGCTCGCGTACGAGCTGGCTCGCGTACGAGCTGGCTCGCGTACGAGCTGGCTCGCGTACGAGCTGGCTCGCGTACGAGCTGGCTCGCGTACGAGCTGGCTCGCGTACGAGCTGGCTCGCGTACGAGCTGGCTCGCGTACGAGCTGGCTCGCGTACGAGCTGGCTCGCGTACGAGCTGGCTCGCGTACGAGCTGGCTCGCGTACGAGCTGGCTCGCGTACGAGCTGGCTCGCGTACGAGCTGGCTCGCGTACGAGCTGGCTCGCGTACGAGCTGGCTCGCGTACGAGCTGGCTCGCGTACGAGCTGGCTCGCGTACGAGCTGGCTCGCGTACGAGCTGGCTCGCGTACGAGCTGGCTCGCGTACGAGCTGGCTCGCGTACGAGCTGGCTCGCGTACGAGCGTCAGGTACGTCAGGTTTGTGGCCAAGTAGGCTTGTACGTCAGGTCTGTGGCCAAGTAGGCTACGATGACAGTTCTTACACTTGAATTTACAACAAATTTCGGTAAACGAGGCACACAAAATGGAATAATTTGCCCGCTGATAACGTAAGTTCAACTGTCAATGCGGAGGCACATTATGCATGACGGTAACGTATGTAAATCAATGACGAGCTAGGCCTATGTCATGTAGGCCTATGTCATGTATGTTAAATCGCTGTTGACATGGTTGACCATCATGAACATAGGCCTACATAGGCCTGGCCTACCCGCAGCAGCACAGAAGCGGAACTTTGAACGAATATATTTCCCTTTTTTTCGGCGTTACATTAAAGACCTTTACGGCTCAGGCGTTTTTACTCAATGAAAAGTATTGTATTACTTCGAAATAAATATAAAAACTGACTTACATTGTTTGAAAAAGCTGATTCTGATCCACGAAACATCGGCACATCGAGCAACAAAGATGGCGGACAATGAAGTGGAAATTTCCGCGCCGCTTGAGCGCACGGTGCGCATGAGTGAGTGTATGCTTTTTGACCACGGTTATTCGGGGTTACTACATTGACCAAGTGGATGTCAAATTTTTTGCAAATCAACCACGGAAGTGGTCAAATAAATTTGACCACGGAAAAAATAACCACGTATTTTTAAGAGTGTAAGTGACGAAACTCCGAACTGGCACTTCTTACATTGATGACGATACCGTTTTCCGTCAGACGATCGAAAAGGGTCCGGAGATGTATTTCGTGCTCAGCAGCTGACGAACTTGCAACGGGTAGATTGTCAATGTATTCGTAGACGAACGGCAAACCTCTGATGACCTCATCAATAAAGCGTTGAAAAGTTTGTGCCGCGTTCCTCAGGCCAAATGGCATGCGGACAAACTCGTATAGGCCGAATGGTGTTGTGAACGCCGTCTTGTGGATGTCACTGGGTTCTACCGGGATCTGATGATACGCGCGGATGAGATCTATTTCGGAAAAGATGCTTTTCCCGTGTAGTGCGCTTGCGAAATCTTGTAGATGAGGTATCGGGTAGCGCTCAGGTATGGTGTTTCGATTGAGTGAACGGTAGTCACCGCATGGGCGCCAGTCTCCAGGGGATTTCTTCGGCATCATGTGAAGTGGTGAAGACCAGCTGCTGCTTGACTGCCGGACGATACCCAACTCGCGCATGTGGTCGAATTCTGACTTTGCGATGGGTAATCGGTCTGGGGCGAGGCGACGTGGTTGTGCTACTACTGGTGGACCGACTGTATCGATGTGATGAGATACCTTATGTTTTACATCAGTGTTCTGATACGTAGGACGACACAAGGTAGGATAATCAGTCAACAGTGTTTCAAATTGTGAGGACAATGGCTTCACTAACACCGGGCTGAGACTTGGCTGCTTCGAAAGAACTCCATTGACTACCAGGCTGGTTATGGAGTCTACGAGTCTGTGGTTCTTGACGTCCACCAAGAGACCAAAATGTTGCAGAAAATCGGCACCAATAATGGCTACTGGCAAATTTGCCACTACAAATACCCATCGAAAAACACGGCATAATCCAATGTCTAAGGTGAGAGAACGCTCCCCGTAGGTTGAAATTGGTGTGGTATTTACCGCTTGAAGCTTGGTAGATGAAGTTGAGTGATGTGTATTCGTATCCCGACCGGGAAAAACACTCACTTCGGCACCAGTATCGACAAGGAAACGTGTCCCTGAACATTTGTCCTTTACGAAGAAAAGGCGACTGGTTGTGGGTGCGCCAGTAGGACTTGTCGCCCCTAGTTGCCGGCCTCCGCGTTTCCCTGGGGGTTGGGGTTGGTCTTGAAGGAACACGGTTGAACACACTTCCGTGCCTTTGATCCATAGCGCCAATGGTACCAGCAGTCGGTTGGGTCACGTGAAGGGCTGCGACTGCGAGACTGACGGTTGTGACTGAAGGTATCTCGGCTACGTGACCGTTGTCGTGTTTGATGGCTTAGTTGGCCAGTGAGAGCTTGGACTTGCTCAGTAAGCTGGTTGATCCGTGTCTCGAGGGTCTGGAAGTTCGCGACCGTATGGGCAGGTTCAGGGCTGGAAACTGCAGCGGCATGAGAGTTCACTGTAGACACTGCTGGAAACCAGTAAATCGCGCACTTCTTGAGCGATGTCTGGCTGGAGCGAACTGACTACGTAGGCAAATTTTGTGTCCTGCACTGTGATGTGGCTGGTGAGAAACTGTGCCTCAACTTGGGCAAACCAAAGTGTGGGGTCAATCGACCAAAATGGCGGCAGTTTCAGACTCACTGCTGTCACGGGCACGGCGGGCGCTAATTCAACAGGAACGGGCTTGGGTTCCACGGGAGGGTCTGATTTGTGGGTTTGATTGTTATGTGGCAAAGTCGACTCACCTCTGGTGACTAATGTCTGCGCCCGTCTGTAGAACCTGGGCCTGCTGCGTGGTGTAGTCCGATGGTGGTGCACCGCGACTATGTCGGAACCGTACGTTCCGTCGTACACAGTTCGGCTTTATTTCCAGTGAATAGGGCAATAATAACGTTCACAAAGACTAACAGTTATGTACATCTGACAAAGACGAAATAGACGATGATATTTACGAATGATGATGACGAAAATGTACACAGAGGAAAACGATGAAAGCGGATGAAAACTTGATGAACGCGAAGTAGTAACTTGACTGAACGGTGATAAAAACAAGATGGCGATATTTACATGTGCGTTTGTTTGTTGGAGTTTTTATGTCTCCAAGTGCAACGCACTTTGACCTTTGGCCACAGCAAAGGTATGGGCGCCCAAACGGACAAAATTAGAAAGTGTTTTACGTGTCGCTACAGTCCCTTCAGAGAGATTTCTAAGCTTCTGTTTGCAGTGTGAAGTGGTTTTTCGCGCAGAATTCAGTGACCTTAAGATGAAACGGAGCAACATCTCCCAACTGTTAAATCAAGCAATGCGTGCTCTGGATGTGTACAAGGAGATGCCAGTATGTAGCGAGAGAACCAAAGCCAGAATTGTCGCTATATTTGTCAATGTCCGCATACAGTATGCACTTAAATTTAAAAACAGACAACTGCATGCTGTCACTCTTAAAAGGAAATGTAAGAAAGTTCAGAAAGTGGGACATAAGTGAATGGAACTTATGGCCGATCACAACAGCACAATGATTTTGCCTGCATAGCATTGCAAAATGCCATACATAATTCACAGTTTGCTTATGTTCAATAGTCAGTACAAACAAAAAATATATGCGCTCTTAAATTTTGCTATGCACGTTTCAACACAGAACTTTAGTATACACTAGTGTCTTAGTGCAAAGTTTCATGGGCATTCGATTATCTGAAAACAGCTGTTTTGGCAAGCTAATAATTTATCATTTTCATGGAAAAAGAAACAGAGCTAGAGCATCTAATCCCTTATTCTTCAACTTTAGATATTACTTTGTTTGTTGTCTTTTGTAAACTCAACATATATATATTGTAAGTCATGTTTGGCTCAATAGCAGAACAGCTACTACTTTTAATCCCTTTTTCCAGCCACCCATAATTTTCTATACTGTGTCCCCCATTACCCTTAACTCTGCTCCATTGATTGGAGCATGCATGTAAATGTGTGTTTTTGTTATTATGATCATTGAGTGGAAACGAGCTGTACTGATCTGCCCTACAGTGGAAGAGTGCAGTATCTCATAATCTGAAAAAAAGTCTGAAACTGAGATGTACCACCTATTGGTTTCAACACTTGTACACAATATGAG